GAAGGAAGGAAGGAAGGAAGGAAGGAAGGAAGGAAGGAAGGAAGGAAGGAAGGAAGGAAGGAAGGAAGGAAGGAAGGAATCTCCCATTTCCTCCTCCATTAACCTCCAGAGGTTGCCATGGATTTTGACTGGAGTCTGGCCAGAGCAGATTCATGGCTCCTGCATGTTATTTTTATGTCCATTTTGATTAAAACAAATAAATTCCAGAGGAGAGGGTCTTCTCACTGTGAAATACACTTTGTCAAGTTTGCAGTCTCTGAGTAAATCAAAACACTGACATTAGTGGCTCCAGCTGTAAATCCCCTTGGAGGCAAAGGAGCGACATGAATTCTGCTCCTCCAAAGCCTCAGCATTGCTCTCACCACCTCAATTTGATATATTATTTATTTTTCAGGGTGTTGGGGAGAAAATAAGAGCTAAAGCATTGCCACACAGAACTTCTTAAGAGAAGCAATCCCCACAGGAGAGCAGAATACAATCCAAGATCACAGAATCCCAGATTGGTTCATGTTGGAAAGGACCTTAAAGCCCATCCAATCCCACCCCCTGCCATGGGCAGGGACACCTTCCACTGTCCCAGGCTGCTCCAAGCCCTGTCCAGCCTGGCCTTGGGCACTGCCAGGGATCCAGGGGCAGCCACAGCTGCTCTGGGCACCCTGTGCCAGGGCCTCCTCATCCTCCTGGGGTAGATAAAGTGGCATCGATCAAACTCAAGATGCAGAGAGAAGTCCTAGCACCAGAGTTGGGGGTCAGGGCCTGATGGACCCACCACGCTGCATGCTCTGCATTAGGGTGATGCTCTCCCCCTAAACATGCCTCAGTTTCTTCAATTTTGGGAACTCCATCCACGGCAGCAGCCAGGCTTGGCAGCTGGAGCAGCAATAGCTGAGAGCAGGCAGATGAGCACCAAAGCCCGTTAAAGATTTTCCATTTGTTTTCTGTGACCACTGGGTTTATTTTTAACATTCCAGCTGAAAAAATTTCTAAGGAAATGCTGGAGCTGAGCCGAGAGGACATGTTTGCTGGAACCTGCCAGGATGATTAGTCCTTTGCAGATAACCCATTGGAAAAGGGTCAGTGTGGGGGCTCTGGCCATGCTGGGAGCCAAGGGAAGGGATGAGTTCTCTTCCAGAGAGCTCCTCAGCCACGCTAAAAGCTATTTTACACTCCCCAGCCTGATGTTTCCTTCCCACTGGGAGAGATCAGCAACTGGACTGCATCAGAGCTGGGAACAGCAGATACTCAACACCTTGCTCTGGGTCTGGGAGGCTGTTTTCACCCAGAAAGGTATTTAAATCCTGTATTCTGGACCACACAGAAGTGCAGAACATTCCCCTCTGTCCTGCCTGGGCTTGTAAAACCACTGCAGGAATGGGAACACCCTCCAGGTAAGGAGGCTGGTGCATCCAAAGCACAGGACCCAAGATACACATGTTAAATCCATCCCTGTGGTCCCAATTCCTGCCTTTACCCATCCCACCAGCCCTGTGGGACAAAGCCTGGACCACGGCCACCTCACACTGTGAGGACAGAAATGCACAGCACATTGCTCCTACCTCCCTGCTCAGCGGCCCTGGAGCTGGTTGCCATCTGAACCATGGGATGAATGAAAAGCCATTAATTCCCTCCGGGGCGTTTTTATGAGGCTCTTGATGAAATGTCTGGATGCTTCAGCACTGCAGGAGTTTGATGCTGGCAGAGCTCTGCGCAGACTGAAAAACCCCATCTCCAGGGTTGAACAAGCTGCTGGCCTCTCCTCCATGTCCTGTGTCCCCTGCTCAGTCCCTCTGGAGCCAAATGTACCCAAAATTGCAGCAAATCATCCTCTCTGTCTGAGCCAGGGCTGTCTCAGGGCACAGGGCAATGAATTAATCCATCCCCAAAGCAAATAGGAGATGGGGACACTCCAATTACATGTACCCACAGGTTCCACCTCCAGTGGGGCTACAGGAAAAATAAGTCTCCTGCCTCTCAGCTTTGCAGACCCTGAAAAGAGGGAGCCCTGCCAGAGAAAAGTGGTCCTGCCCCAAGGCTGGAAAGTATCCTTGGAAAGTGGAGGGTGACCCTCAACCTCTCAGGTGCTGTTGCTGGGTCTGTACTTGCACCTTTACTCTGCAGCATCTCCCTACATCCCTTAGACTGCAGCAGCACCCCTCCTAACTCCCCAGAAACCCTCTTCAGCAGCCCCAGCATCCCTACTTATCCCTTCCAAGTATTCCTCCTAAATCCCCCCCAACATTGCTCCCCAAATCCCTCCTCAGCATTCCCGTATCATTCTCCCCCCAGCACCCCTCCAATTCCTTCCCTCATCCCACCATATCTCTCTTGAACCCCCTTGCAACATCCTCCCAGACCTTCTCAGTACTCCCAGACTCATCCAGGACCCCCTAACCCCACAACACATGGTGGAGAGAATGAAAGAGAGAAAGAAAAAGCAGAGGGCAAGGGGGAACTGGAGACGCCCCGGCTTTGCTTTGTGGACAAGGGGGCTGTTTGTCCCCCTGCTTTCTTACAGACAAAGAAAACCCAAAACAGTCACAGCGCCGGGATCCATCTCACTCCCCCTCCAGTCAGGGGACTCTTGCCGGCTCCGGAGATGGGAGACAGACAGGGATGGGGGGGAGGCAGGGACCGGGAGGAGTTGGGGGGAGAGACAGGGATTAGGAAGGCAAGCAGGGAGGGGACATAGAGGCAGGAATTGGGGAGAGGGGGTGCAGGTAAGGAACTGGGTGATGGGAAAGGAGGCAGGGACTGGGGAGAGCGGGGGTCAGGCAGGATCTGAGAAGACAAGAACCAGGAAGGGAGGCTGGAACGGATGGGGAGAGAGAGCGACAGGCTTGGGGGCGGGGGGAGAGGGGCGCGCAAGGAGGGATCTGTGGGGGGAATGGAAGCATAGGGCGAGGCAGGCAGGGATAGGGAGAGGCAGACAGAGATGCGGCGAAAACGGGACCACGGATGGAGGACAAGGACGAAAGAAAGGCAGATAGCGACCGAGGTGGAGGGAGGCAGGGACGGGGGGGACAGGTAGGGAGCAAGGGGGAGAATAGCTGGCAGGGATCTAGGGAGCAGGCAGGGAGCGGGAGGGGTGCAGATAGGCGGGGGGGCGGGCGGGCGAGCAGGGCCGCCCCCGGCCCCACGTGGCTCGGGGAACACGCGGGTTTATAAGGCATTCGCGGCCCGGCGAGTGCGGGAGGCGGCACCGGCCGGGAGCGGGGCTCGAACCCGCGCTGCTCGGATGCGCCCGGCGGTTCCTGCTGGGCCACGGCCGCCCGCGGGCCATGGAGCTGCCCATGGATGTGACCATGGATGTGCCCGTGGAACTGCCCTCTGTGCTGCCCACGGCCACTGCCACCCCCTGGGGCAACGGTACCGCCTGGGCCCCCCTGCCCGGACACGGGGTCAACGACACGGGCCCGCAGCGGGCCAAAAACGCTACATCCATCCTCATCGCCATCGTCATCACCGCGCTCTACTCCGTGGTGTGCGTGGTGGGGCTGCTGGGCAACGTGCTGGTCATGTACGGCATCGTCAGGTGAGAGCGGGGCACCCCGGGCGCTGCCCTCGAGGGGTGGGAGCCACTTGGGGTGGGTGGGCACCAGGAGTGAGAGCACCGATGGAGGCGGGCTGTGCCGGGGGCAGTGTGCAGCACATGAAGGTGAGAGATGGTGACAGTGAGTGAGTGTGCACAGGGGTGGGTGTGCACTAGAGGTGAGCGTGCACCAGGAGGGAGTTTGCACTTAGAGAAAGTGCGCACAGGGGCGAGTGTGTGCTGTGTGTCACCCAGCACCAGAAGTAAGCGTGCACCAAGAATGAGTGTGCAACGGCTGTGAGCGTGCCCCAGGTATGAGTGTGCCCCGAGTGTGAGGCGGCAGCAGCAGCAGGAGGGTTGGGTGTGCGCAGGCAGCACCGAGACGGGCGAGCTGTGTGAGCAGGACGTGTGCGAGCTGTGCGAGGGGGGGTGCAGGTGCTGAAAGCAGAGGCCATGCCTGTCTGGAGCAGCTCGGGGAGTGCAAGGGGGCTGGGTTTGGGGGGGACACAGCCCGACCCCTTGTCGGACAAGAGTGCCCCTTGTCCTTTGTGGGGAAGAGAAGCCGCAGGGCTGGTCACGTTGCGGGCTGGGAGCTGTTAGCAGGGCGGGTCCAGAACCCCCCCACCCCCTTCAGCCAGGTCTGGTGGGGTCCCACTGCTGCCACCCCACTCCATTCGTGGGAATTACCCACCCAGCCCATTCCCAGTTCCTTCTTGTGCCAGCACCTCCTGCAGCTGCCTGACTTGTGATTTTCTCTAACAAAGAAAAAAGCATGGCCCAGCCCCATCTTCCACAGCAGCTGAGCTGTACTCAATGTGGGGTACCATCTCCAGCAGCCAAGAGACCTACTTTGGCTTCATCCAAGACCTCAGCACCTGTGGTGAGGCTTTCCTTGGGTAGAGACAGGCTCTGTGGGGTCTTGCACCCCACGACAAGCAACACGACCCAAATGGCCCCCGTTTTAAAGACGGGGCATGGCAAGATGCTGCTGTATCCAGCCAGGCACTTGTGCTAAGGTACAAAATCTCATCAGTCCCTTTGTCCGAGGGGACAAAGGCTTAGTCCTGCCTGGATAAGATGGGTTGACATGGAAAATGGGACCATAAAGCCAAGTCTTGCAGAGCACAGGAGCAGCACCGGCAGTGTGGGCTGACAGAGCTCCCCCACAGCCCTGCCAGCAGCAAAGGATGGGCTGTGCTCACAGTCACACTCTGTGAGGGCACAGACCCCAACACCTCTGGCCTGGCAGGAGGGAGCAGAAGGGTCTCACTGAGTACCTGGGTTCACAGCCACCCCCTCTGCACTGGAGGGGGCTTCTCTGGTAGGTCCAGAATTTGTGGGGTAATTCCAATTCCCATTGCCTCAGGTGGTGCTGTAACCCCAGCTTGGCCAAAACCCTAGAGCCAAACCAGAGCTCATGGCTGGATTTAAACAAATCCCCCAAATTCACATTTTTTACACCTTCACACTCATTTCCCCATTGGTTTCAGTCCATAGCTATTGTTACAGGAGGTCAGTACAGCCTGGCACTGCCTGCGCACAAATAAATGTGGTGACTCACCGGAGGGAAGGAAACCATCCTGAAACGTGTCCATGAGCCACCCTGAGTGCCCATTGCTCTGCTGTCCCTGCTCCCCACTCTCTGCGGGGCTCTGCTGAGGGGGTGGGCAAGAGGGTGGGCAATGGGAGAGTACCTACCTGACCCGACCTGACCCCTAATGGGATTTTTCATCCACTCAAAGTGGCATTAAAAATGAGCCCTTGTCTGAAAAAGCAAATTGAGATAATTGCGGCAGAGACAGATGCCATGAGCGATGTCAGGGTGAGGGATGAGTGTTATTAGACCCCCTCCAGCTAATTCTACTCTGAGAGGAGAGGGAAGGCATCTTAAGGAGAGTGATTTCATGCAAACAACACCCTCCCTATTTTATTCACTGAGTAACTGCACCGTTAGCCGGGCTTTAGCAAGCCTGACAGCCACAGATCCCATCACCACAGCTTCTAGGCCCCCATTTTCGAACTGATGATGGAACTAAACACAGAATCTCAGAGTGGCTTGGGCTGGAAGTGACCTTATAGACCATCTTGTTCCACTACCCTGCCTTAAACAGGGTTGTCTTACACTAGACCGGTGGCTCCGAGCCCTGTCCAAGCTGGCCTTGGACACTTCCAAGTGTGGGGAATATCTCCCATGAAATGAGCAAGTATCACCCTCCAAGCCCCTAGGACAGGAGGGGCTGCAGGGACATGTACCTCCGCCCCTTCCATGACCAAAGCCACCTGGAGTTTTCCAGGGGTCCTTGTCAGAGTTGCTCCATGTCGACAGGATTTAGGCCAGGACTAGGGGAGACCTGTGTAAAAAAAAAGGGCTATGAGATGGGATCAGCTCGGATTTGGACCTCACTGTCAGGGAGATTCTGGGTATTTGCCTTGTGCTCTTCTCCTAGTGCCACCTCTCAGTGCTCTTGGGGTCCAGGCAGGGTGTCCAGGCAGTCTGGGAGCATGGCTGGAGCACATCCTGCACTGCATTTGCCACAAAGTCCATGAGTGCCAGGAGCTGGCAGATGCAGACACAGGACCCTGGCATATAGCTCTGTGAATGGACACACAGTGAGCCAAGCACAGCCAAACTCCAAATAAATCCCTCTCCAGAGCAGCCAAACCCATCAGCACACCTGGAGGGAGCCCAGCACACCCAGCACTCTCCCCAGCACAGCTCTCACCAGCACTGCCATGCCCAATGCATTGTCAGATGCTTTTAAAAATACTCCTGGAAGCAATTTGCAGCCGTGAGCTCAGGACTGCAAGTGCCCTCATCCCCACTGAGCCCATCAGCCCCCCACCAGCTCCCACACAGGCTGCAGGGACAGCTGGGTGCAGGCTTTGTTAAGACACGCTCTTTCAGGCAGCAGCTTTTAGCAGCTGCAGGAGTTTTTCTTTCATTTATTATTATCTTTCCTTTCAGTTACTTATTTTCTAAGAGGTTTGGAGAGGGCATCCCTACTTGGGAGTCAAGACTGGAATGCAGAGTTGCCCTGTGCTTGCCCCATCCCCTCCCATCTCCTCTCTTCATCAACACCTCCCAGATTGTTCCATTCAAGTGCATAACTTCCCAATCAAGGCACTCACTTAATTGCAATGGGTTTGGCAGCCCAGGGAGCTCCATCAGCAGCAGTGGATGGTTTGCTCTCATGTGGGCAATAAACCTCTTTCCTAGAGCTGCAGTTTTATTTGCATCTCAGGAGGGTCACCAGGATGCATGCCTCACCCTGTGCAGGGGGTTGACACCTCAGCCCAAACCTGGAGGGGGCTGAATCTTGCCCCAAAACCCCAGTGCTGGAGGCTAAATTGCCATCCTTACTATTCCAGTTATCCCTATCAGCATCCCTTCTTTCCCATCATCCCAGTCAACCCCATCATCCCAGTTATGTCCTTCATCATCCCAGTTATCCCCATCACTCCAGTCACATATATTGTCAGAGTCAACCCATCATCCCAGACATTCCCATTATCATCCAGTCCTTTCCATCATCATCCCAGTCATCTCCATTATCCCACTCATCCCTGACACTGCTTTGCCCTCACCAGCCCCATCCTGCCTGGGGATGTGTCCCCTACCCCTGGCACGTCTGGCAGGGGTTGGAAAGTTCTTACCCTGCACAGCCAAGCACATCTGGCAGACCATGAAATTAATAACAGATTTTTTTACCATTTTACTCAAAAAACAGAGACCAAAGACATGTGAATCTACCTGAACTGACTGTTCACATAGGAGAGGCAAAACCTGACAATACCACAAATTCTCATGATTTTATTTAACCTGGGAGGAAACTTTTCTGCAAAAGCACTTGGAAAATAACACTAAAGAGAACAGAAAAGGACTTTTCAAGGACAAGACATTTTTAATGCCATATTTAAATTAAAAAAAAAAAAAAAGCTCAGCTCGAATTTTCCACCCTTGGGCAATGGACTGCCATTTGCAGCCGTGGTGAAGGAGACAGGAATGCTCTTGAAGCTGGGAGCTGGGTTAGGCTGCTGTTTTCTATTTTCTCTGAGAGAAATGAGTTTTTCAGCTCCAGTTCCCAGTTCTATTGACAGTGGAACCTGGTGGGTCTCCATCCCCACCAAGACACTCTCCTGACCCTGCTGAGTTGGAGAAAGGATAAGGGGAAGGGATTGGGTAGCACCATCAATCCCAGGAGCCTCTTTCCCACACCAACCTGCAGTCCTGGGCTCCAGCTAGGGCAGGACCACCTGAGATGGGAGCCAGTCAGTCCTCCCACCTCAATTTATTCCATGTACCCCCAACGTGTAATGAGCTATGCCAATTGTCACAGAATCCTAGAACGCTTTAAATTGGAAGTGACCTTAAAGCCCATTGTATTTCACTCCCTGCCATGGGCAGGGACACCTTCCACTATCCCAGGTTGCTCCAAGCCCTGTCCAACCTGGCCTGGAACACTTGCCAGGATGGGGCAGCCTCAGATTCTCTGGGCACGCTGTGCCCAGTTATCACCACTCTCATATCTGATCCAAACCTGCCCTCTATCAGTTTAAAACTCTCTTACCCCTATCACACATGTGAAAAGTCATTTTCTATCTATTTTATCAGTACTTCAAGGAAAACAATCTCTTCATCCCAGTAACAAAAAGGATTATCTCCCCACTCCGTGCCTTACCCCAGTGCTGCTACAGGCAGGTTTAGCCATGCACAGAGATGGTTTTGTGCAAACTGACCCTGACATTAGTTAACTAATTAGGATGCATCTAAACAAGCTTGGGGAAGGATGCTCTCTCTGAGCAATGGGGATTTGCTGGAAGGGAGCACAGGAAGAGTTGGAGCTGCTGGTGTAGCCCTGCAAAGAGCAGAGTCTTCCACAGAGCCTCTCCCACCCCGCATGTGTTGCCCTTTGGGAGCACCCAGCAGATCCCTCAGTATCTATTTCCAAGCCACCACACCATTCAAAGCATCCCTCTGACCAACACTTGCAGGACTGGATACTCCTGGGACACACACACATCCCTGCTGCTCTGGCATCTGCCATAACTGCCTCATCCCTTCAGGAAAGGTCTGGACATGAAGGACCAGGCATTTCTCTTGCCATGCTGTGACAAGAACCAGAAGCAGAGCCAGCCCTTCCCAAATGCCCTGGGGGATACAGCCAGGCTTCCCCAAAGGCTCTGGAGCTCCAGGCTGGCTAATTGGGCTGCTTCCAGATGGCCTGTTTCCGGGGCTAATCGATCCAATTTCTGCAGGCAAACTTGACAGGGAAGCAGGCTGGATAATCACAATTTACTGGGTAGAAAATCAGACGGAGGAAGGTTGAGGGGATAAAGGACATTGTGCAACTGGTTCAGGGAAATGGAGCAAATCAATCTCCTAGGAAAACTGAGTTCTCTGGAAAGTTCTTTATTCCTTCGAATAAAAGCACGCATGGAATGAGTGTCACCTCCCTGGTCAGGTCCAGGAAAACCACTGTGGCAGGGGCCAAACCATGCTCTACATGTCCCAGCTGAGCACACGTGAATGCCATCCCCTCCTCGGGTACCAGGATGTGATGTGTGGCTCCCTGCCCATAGCTGAGGAGTAGAATGAGATGAGCTTTAAGGACCCTTTTAACCCAAGCCCTTCTATGATTCCATACTTGTGTTCTTGTGTGTTGAAGTCATAAAATCGCAGAATCCCAAAATGGTTTGAGTTGGGAGGGACCTTAAAGCTCATCTCATTCTACTCCTCAGCCATGGGCAGGGATGCCTTCCACTATCCCAGGTTGCTCCAAGCCCTGTCCAGCCTGGCCTTGAACACTTCCAGGGCACCCACAGCTGCTCTGAGCACCCTCTGCCAGGGTCTCACCACCCTCCCAGGGAAGAATTTCTTTCCAATATTCCATCTAATAACCTGTCTCTCTAGACCCTTGTAAAGAGTCTCTCCTCCATGTTTCTTGTGGGCTCCTTCAGGGACTGGAAGGCCACAATTAGTCACCTCAAAAGATTCTCTTCCCCAGGCTGAGCAATCCCAATTCTCTCAGCCTTTCCTCATAGCAGAGGTGTTTCATCCCTCTAGTCATCTTGGTGGCCTCCCCTGGACTGGCTCCTTCCTCAATGTGCTCCCTGATGCACATGGAAAGCTTCTGGCACATTGTTGCTGCACAAAGGCACATCACAACACTTTTGCCCACCAAGGCTGGTGTCACCTTCATGAGCACACAGGTTGCGCCCCCTCCTCATCACATCAAGTGCCCTGAGCACCTGTAACACATCTTTTCTCTGCCACCCCCAGGTACACCAAGATGAAGACAGCCACTAACATCTACATCTTCAACCTGGCGCTGGCTGATGCCCTGGCCACCAGCACCCTGCCCTTCCAGAGCGCCAAGTACCTCATGGAGACCTGGCCCTTCGGGGAGCTGCTCTGCAAGGCTGTGCTCTCCATCGACTACTACAACATGTTCACCAGCATCTTCACCCTCACCATGATGAGCGTGGACCGCTACATCGCCGTGTGCCACCCTGTCAAGGCCCTGGACTTCCGCACGCCGGCCAAAGCCAAGATCATCAATGTCTGCATCTGGGTGCTCTCCTCCCTCATCGGGGTGCCCATCATGGTCATGGCAGTCACCAAGTCAAAAGGCAAGTGTCTCTGGGGACACGTCCCCTCCTGTCCCATCAGTCCACCCCAGGGGTGACCTGGAAAACTTGACTTCTGGTCCAGTAGCAGATTTGTGGTCAGTAGCGGGCACCTCTCTATGGCACCATAAATGTGCCCTGTCTTGGAAAAAAACATCATGGTGTTATTTCCCATCTTGGAAACTGTCCCAGAAATTGTCCTCCCTTCCCCTTAAGCGTAGAGAATCTCATCTCCATCTTTCCCCATCTCCAGTCCAACCAGTGCCCCTCCCCACCTCCTGGGATGCAAATCAGGTGCCTAAAAAAACCCCCAGGGATGCTGCTGCAAAGTCTCCAAGTGGCCCACACTAAGATCTGCAGCTCCTGTGTGGGGACACTGGTCCTTGAGGCTGCTAAGAAAGCTCTGAACATCTCACGGAAGTGGACAGATTTCAGTGGAGGGTGATATGGGGATGTCCACCCTGGGAGTTGGGAGAAGGCAGGATTGGCCTTGAATGGCCCAGGAGGCTCTGCAGGGTAAAGGTTCCAGGGTCAGTGCATCCCCTTAGTGTCTTGTGGACAGGGGCCTGATGACAGAGCTCCTGGGGAACCTCTGCCAAGAGCAGGCAGGTAGGAATGCACCTCCCTGGGGTTTTAACAGGCCATGACTGAACAGAAAGCAGAATATTCTCAGCAGACACTCCTCCAGCTCCCTGTTCGTCCCTCCTCTCTCCTACAGATGGTATGGTCTTGTGCACTCTCCAGTTTCCTGATCCTCCCATCTACTGGGACACCGTGACCAAGATATGTGTCTTCATCTTTGCCTTCCTGGTCCCCATTTTGGTCATCACCATCTGCTATGGGCTGATGATCCTTCGCCTGAAGAGTGTCCGGCTCCTCTCAGGCTCTAAAGAGAAGGATCGCAACTTGCGGCGCATCACACGCATGGTGCTGGTGGTGGTGGCAGCCTTCATCATCTGCTGGACACCCATCCACATCTTCGTCATCGTCTGGACGCTGGTGGACATAGACAAGAAGAACCCCTACGTGGTGGCCAGCCTGCACTTCTGCATCGCTCTGGGCTACACCAACAGCAGCCTCAACCCCGTCCTTTATGCTTTCCTGGATGAAAACTTCAAGAGGTGCTTCCGAGAGTTCTGCCTGCCCTTCCGAGCCCGTGTGGACCAGAACAGCTTCTCCCGTGCCAGGAACACCACGCGGGAGCACGTTTCCACCTGCACCCCTTCTGAAGCCCGCAACAAGCCGGCATGACTAGACGTGGGCAGCCCCCAGCGGGGCTGCCGGGCACACGGGGGAGATGAGCTGCGCTCAGAAGTCACCCAGGTCACCACCACAGAGGTGTAGCAGAATGGTGGCCTGGGCGCTGCTCAGTAGCACTGCTGGATTTGCATACAGACTGCAAAAACAATTTTCATCCTGGGAAAGAAAAATGGGAGAATTGGGACTCACCAAATGATGTTGGGAGAGGACCAAAACAAGAGGCAAGTTGAGCAAAGATGCTCCACTGCTGCCACCACCTCAACCAACAACACTCAGCAAACGGCTGTCACCCTCCAACACGTGGCTCTTAGCAGAGCCCAGGGCACCAGAACTGTGATGTCCACATGCTTCTCCTCTTGCACAGGCCACAATGGCACCACAGCCTATGGCAGGAGGGGAAACTCACATGGCAGAAGAGAACTGTGCCAGGAAGTGATCATAGGATCACAGAATCATTCAGGTTGGAAAAGCCCTCAAGATCATCAAGGTCAACTGTTCTTCCACCACAACCAAGGCCACCACTAGCCCATGTCCCCAAGTGCTACATCCACACAGTGATGGTTAAATCCCTCCAGTGATGGTTACTCCATCACTGCCCTGGACAGCTGTGCCAGGGCTGGACAGCCCTTTCAAGGAAGAAACTTTTCCTAATATCCAGCCTAATTCTCCCCTGGAATGGCTTGAGGTCATTTCCTCTGCCACATCATGGGACCTCATTCCATCCCCCTCTGAGCTGTGTCCAAAAGACAACCAGAGATGGGAAGAGAAACTTATGCCACTTCAGAGACATTGTTTTCAAAAAGCTCCAGATCCATTGTAAAAATTCTCCTGGACTCTCTCAAACTGGGAGTGCTCCCAAAGAAAGCTTTCTACTGTTAATGTCGTTACTGTCATTAGTGTTATTTAGAGACCTCTGACTGCATCTAAGGCTGCCCTGGACATGGATGTGATGCTGGGAATATGGATATGGCCAGAGGATGGAGCAGGGCATGTCTGAAGCTGACCCCGATATCCATGTGCCAATACCAAATTCCCAGGGTGACAGGGAACAGATGAAGTCATTAAGCCCAAGAAGAATCCCATTAAGGGAGTAATTTGTGGGAACTTGAGTTGTTACTTGCAGTGCTAAAGTAATTAGGATGGAATAACAGGCTGCAGCAAGGGCTCCCCCTCCCCTGCCCATCAGGAGAAGGATGAACAACAGCACTGCCCAGATCTCCATAGCAGAGACAAAAAAGGATAGGATAGGATTTCTGATGTCAAAAATATCACCTCCCTTTCACAATTCATCAAGCAGGGACAGAGGTCGTGCAGGCACCTAGAAAGGCTCTCATCTAGATGTAGCAGCATCCCTCCAAAGGGATAGCTGAACTTCAAGTCCCAATGCATCCTGCAAAAGCCACCATCCAGGGACTTCCTGACCACATTACCTGAAGCTGAGCAATAATTGATGGGTTCTCCTGCTCCCTGAAGCACCTCTACAGCCCCATGCCACATTCATGAGCCACCAACTTTTCCTTCCTTTCACCTTCCCACTGTCATTTCCAGGTACTCAGCAAGCCCGAGGAGGAGGATGCTCAGAGGAAGTAGTAATAGCGTTGAGAGAATGAATTGATACAGCTGGAGGAAGCAGGCACAGATGCACCTGGGGCTCCCAGGCTGGATGCAGAGCTTGGCTTGTGTCTGGTTTCTCCAGCTGTATCAATTTAGGCTAATAAAAGCCATTACCTTTCTCCAGAAATGTGGAAATTGCAGCCCTCCCCGTTAGAAAGACAGAGCCCACAAGGCTGTCAAAACCAATTTCTCTTTTATAAAGGAATCAAATAGGGTGACATTGCCCACTGAGGTCTCAGATCAATGCCACTGATCCTCCCTGCACCGTGTCAATGTGCCACAGGAAAAAAAAAAAAGCCTCTTGCTCAGCGCTGCATCCACCTGTACATCTCCAGCTCTTCAGAGTCCCTTTGCAGGCATGAGTGGAGTCCTGGCGTGGCCACACTTGGGCTCCTCACCCCCTGCTACCACAAGCCCATCTGCTCACGGAGGCCTTTGTTTTTCCATCTGCCGAATTCCTAGCCTGCTGGAAGATGTGACTGCCATCGCCTTAAAGTGGCATAAATGCTTCAAGTCATTACTTTTTAAAATGCCACCCTGCTTGGGCAGAGCTTGGAGCCCGGGACAAGCAAAGAGAGTGGCTTTCCTGAGCTTCAGGTTTGCTGACTTAAAGAAAAATAGAATATTCCTGGGAAAAATGAGTGGCAAGCAGCACACCAGAGCATACGGGGTGATGTGGACCTTGATCATCCCATTCTGGCAGCATCCCAGCAGGGATCTGGGGGCTGATTCAGCTTCTTCCCACCTAAAATCCAGCTCCTCCAGCTCCTCAGCTGGGCTGGGAAACTGGGGACAAATCCTAGTCCAGGGAAACAGCACAGGGAGATCCTGCCTGCCCAGACTGAGCCATGCTGTAGCCAGGATGCTCAGAGGGAGCTCTCTGTGTACTTTTATAAATATATATGTATGTCAATCTATAGCTGTATGAAATGAAAGTGACCCCAGGGCCTCCCATCACACCTCTCACTACAGCAGCTGCTCCATGTGTGATGGAGCTGAATATGCCAGATCCATAGTATCTCACAAAGTACTTCAGATATTATTTCCAGCTCCAGCCCTCGGGATTTTTGCCTGACAGTGGCATTTCTGTACAGGAACCCTGCTTTATAAAAATTAAAATAATAAAGTAAAATAAAGTCAGAGATAGGAAGTAGTTTCCAGCTCTCTTGTGAGTCCCAGGCATCAAAAATGAGCAGGGTCTGGCTCAGGGGGGTGGTTTGGGGAGTGAGGAAACTACCTCTAAATTTACTCTTTTCTGTGAGGGTGGGCAGGCCCTGGCACAGGGTGCCCAGAGCAGCTGTGGCTGCCCCTGGATCCCTGGCAGTGCCCAGGGCCAGGCTGGACAGGGCTTGGAGCAGCCTGGGACAGTGGGAGGTGTCCCTGCCCATGGCAGGGCATGAAACTGGATGGGCTTTAAGGTCCCTTCCAACCTAGGCCATTCCATTATTCTAAATTCAAGTTCTAAAACTTCACCTGGACTTGGAAAAACTCACCTTTGTGAACCCCCAAAGCCCTTTAGCTGAGATTGTTTGCAAGCCCTAGTCACCAAAAACCTCTTCTGCCACTGGTCATGAAGATAGAATTTTATTTTAAAAGCCTAGCAGCTCGAATTCTGTCCCAAATTACACTTGGAATTTTAATACAAATGAGGATTTAGCAAAAAAGCAACAGAAACGGGTGTTGGAGCCTGTAACTTTGCCCTGGCTTAATGAGACTTTGGATTTTAAGGTATTTCTCACTTCTGCTGTGTAGGTTTCTTAGTTCCCAAAGAAGGGGAAACCATAAAGAGCACAGAGTGGATGTGAAAACCAGATTTCCAGCCAGGGGGTGTTGTTTAGCTAGGGCATCACTGCTCCAGGACCACTCGAGGACCCTCGTGCTTTACCCAGCACCCTGGGAAAAGCAAGGCTGGCACCGAGCCCAGTTAAACCAGCAGCCAGCCCAGACTGATTATGCAGCAACCTGTGCTGGCACACACCAGTGAGCTGTTTCCAGGGGCATTTACAGCCCCAAACCCATGTGTTACTGCAGGAAACATTCTTTCCCCCATTTCTTTTCTTTAATTAATCCACCAAATAATGAACCCTGATGTATTGAGTGTGTGATTATGATGATGCCAGTTTGTCTGCAGGTTTAGGCTGACTTTGGAATTGCATTAATATGTAGATGGAAATGAATGGATCTGACTTTCCTGGGGAGGAGAGGAGCAAGATTTCCCACCTTCCTGACCCCAGGGCAGCCTGGGGTGGATCCAGGCTCCCAGCTCGACAGAGATACTTGTCTTGCAACTCATCATTTAACAGGGAAAAAATCACTATGAATAATTCCTAGAGGATTTTTTTTCTCCTCTCAGAGTTATAAATTCTGCTTAATTTATACTGTTTTTTTCCCTGAGCAAATGGGATCAGGAGGAACATGCAGGGAGGGGATGAGGGATGGCTGGGATTTTGTGTGAGTACTGGGGCTCCTCCAGACAGGGACAGAGCCAGGATCCCCTTCCCTAGCTCCCAAAAGCTGTGTGACCCATGTGAGACTTTCCTTATTTTTGGCCTTTGTAATGGGAAAGGAACCAGGACTTCAGCAGTTTGGGGAGGGGGCAGAGACACCCTCACATCCTTATTTCAGCCCCATTCTCACCCTAAAGAGACCCAAGGCACTTCTACCAGGAGCCACACCAGAGCACTGCACTGCCAGTTTTCCTGGGATATACTGGTCAGGTACCAGCCCTAACGATGGGATTCAGGGAGAGACAGCCCAGTACAATGACCAAACTGTCACTTGCAGACTCATCATTAAACCAGGCAAGTCACGGGCAGCTTGGCCATAATTAAAGCTCGTTTCCTCTTCCAGGCAGGAAAGGAAGAACAAGAAAACAATCTCAGTATCCTCCAAACCCTCCTGAAGATATAATTCCCTCTCTGCAGTTCCTGCAGCACCCCTACATAGGCAGAATTTTTATATCTAGAACAGCAACATGTTAAAAATCCTGAATAAATCTCTCACAAACCCCATAAACAACACTCAAAGTGCTTTTATTCTGGGCTGAAAAGATCTTCACAGCACCAGGCCTCATCCTCCATGGAGGCTAAAGCCCTCAAATTCCACTTCCCAAGCTTTTGTCTGGAAATCAAAAGCCGTTTATGCACTGCCAGTAGCAACAGATGGAGAACAGTCTGTGGGATTGGAGCTGCCACCTGGTGATGAGGGAGGGTCTGGAGGTGTCAGCGCTGGACAACCTCCACCATGGACTGAGCTGGATCCTGACACAGCCAGGGGTCTGCTCCACAGGACCCAAATTCCTCCTCAACATCCTTTAAACCCCGGAGGCTCGTTAAGGAACCTGCTCGTGCCCAAATGAATTAAGTGTAAACAGCGACCAGGGGCTCCAGTCACACCAGGATGTGGGAATTCGCCCCATGGCTTCCAGGCTCCACACATCTGGCTCAGCACCCAGCAGGGACAGGCCAGGATCCTTCCAGCTGTGCCACGGCCTTGGTTGTGTCCCTGGAGCCCCAAAGACACCAGGAGTTACCTGTCATACAGGCGGGGACGTGAGGAGAGGCTGCCAGAGCCGGCAGAGAGGACAGGGACAGGGACAGGGACCGTCCCCTCTCCCTGTCCCAGTTCTCCCAGTGCCGCAGCCCAGCAGCTCCCGGAGCGCTCTCCTGCTGCCACCTGGCGGCCACGGCTCGCACTGCACAGAACACCCGGACACAGCTGGGACCGGGACAGCGCCCCCAAAACCGGGCCCCCATTCCCAAACCGGGCCCCCATTCC